AAAAAAAAAAAAAAAAAAAAAAAAAAAATGGTACTTGCATATTAATGTAAACATTTTGGCTCTCCATTTGGTGATTTTTTACAGGTGAGAAGATAAAAATTACATATCAGGTCAAATTGGTTTTCATGACGTTTTTTAAAAATGTTCCCAAACTATTCATATGAGGGTTGGAACTTTAATAGTGGCAACATAGCTGAAAAAACGCTATGCAACAAAACCAAAGAATATCGCATATACCACACATGAACTACATACCTACCTTACCTCTCAGCAAAAAGACTCGTCCTGCCTATGTCACGTGCATGCGGAGTGACGCGAAGAATGGACCCTTGTATTAGCTTACGGTCTAAAGTAAGTGTTGTCAGGATATTTTCAAAACAAGAACAACGATGTTGGATAAAAATTGAATGTGCCAGAGGTCGTACAGCACGACAGTGTCATCAAGGGCTTCAAGAGGCTTGCAGGGAATCTGCATTGCCTTACACAACCGTAGCAACATGGGTGAAAGCATTCAATGAAGGACGCCAAAACGTGGCAGACATTCTGCGGCCAGGCTGTCCGAGTGTCAGCGATGCAGACGTGCAAGCTGTTGCCGCACTAATGGACAGTGATCGGCGCCAAACAATTCGTCAGCTGGCCGGACAAACAGGATTAGCGCATACGACTGTGCTGCACATTCTGAAGGAACGCCTGTCCATGAGAAAAATTGCTTCACGATTCCACATCAGTTGACGGAAATGCAGAAATGGCTACGATACGATGCTGCCCGAACCCACCTGGAGCACTATGAGCATGAAGGAAATGCTTTTTTATGCCGTATCATTACGCTGGATGAGACTTGGACCCGATCGTACCAGCCAGAACTGAAACGCCAATCAAATTAATGGTGTCATCACAGGTCACCACGATGTTCGAAATTTTGTCAGAACCCCAGCAGTGTGAAAGTTATGGTGATTCTCGTGTACGACTGTGATGGTGTCATCCTAACGTACACCATTCCCCCACAGCGGACCGTCACTGTGCAGTATTACTGCTCATTTTTGGAGCACAATCTCCGACCAGTTTTGAGAAAAAAATGGCGACACTTTCTGCAGAACGCTCCTCTCATTTTGCATGACAATGCTCGGCCGCATGCAGAGCAAGCTGTGACTGATTTGTTCAAGCGATGGGGCTGGGAAGTGCTTTATCATCCACCATACTCCCCAGATCTAAGCCCTTGTGACTTAATTCCTAAGATGAAGGAACCACTTCATGGCACTCGCTTCCAAACTGTTCCTGAGATTCTTGCGGCAGTAGACCGGTCCATTCAAACTATCAACAAAACAGGCACTGCTACAGGTATTCTGTGACTTCCACATCGTTGGAAAATGGGTTGTACACAATGCTGGCGACTATATTGAAGGACTGTAAAACATGGTGACATGAATCACTTTTGTATTCCTTGTAAATAAATAGTTGCCACTATTAAAGTTCCAACCCTCGTATTTATCGTAAATTGGCAAACATTATCAACATATAAAAAGAAAACAAACTTTAGCAAATTAAAATACAAATTTTAATTATTAAAAAAGGATTATGTGACACTTTAAAAAAATAAAACACTTTCATCTGTAATTTTTTTTTTTTTTTTTGCTATCCTTCTTTTCAAGCACACATCAGTCTATTTTTGCGCAGAAAAAGAAGTGCAGATATCTGATACAGTCAAAAGTCGTTAATTCGGACACCCATAATTCGGAATGATCTATAATCCGGACATCAAAACTAAAAACTTTCTGCGCATGCGCCGCGTTGACACATGCGCATAGGCGTTTACGCGTGCGCGTAAGACCTTTTACGACTGCGCATATCAGTGTGCGCAAGTGCAGAATACGTTTTCACGTGCACGTTTTATGTATAATGGATGTATAAGCTAAAATTATCTAATTATCTATTTCAGTTAATGTTGATGATTGCGTTGTTCCTTAATTTTCAAATTGGATCCGGCTTATTATTTTTTGCAGACTGTAAGAGCAATTTTATAAAAGTAAGCTTAAACTTTCGATTATATCAAATAGAATTTCCGATATATATTTGTTAATATGTAAAGGATCTAAAGCGAAAGTATGTTTTGAAATCCGAAATCTGTTTATCAATTTCACGCTGCTCGGCGGGGGGAATGCCGCGCCGCAGCGGGCGCATAATGAATTGGAAGTTGATTTGTCAGCACTATCCTTATCTTCAGCGCAAATGTTTTTATTTGGCTTATAATTACTTACCAAATGTAGTATTTCATCTCAATATGCTCCGTTCTTTGATATGATTTAAAACAAGTTCCTGGTCATTATAATTCGCTTCCCATAGCGAAAAAAAGTAAGAGAGGTTATTGAAAACGAAAAAATTTCGATTGACAAATTAGTCGGTGTTCTTGACACAGCAATTATAGGACTTGAACAGCGGAACTTTGTAACTGAACAAGAAATTATGTCTGTTTAATAGAATTAAAGAGAAAGTATTATCACATGAAACGAAGCAAAACTTAAACAACTTACATTAAAAGAAATGTTTAATAAAGTAAACAAATAAATATTAAGCTTTTTCTTTTTGCAAATTTTGATACCCTTAGATCATAATTGTTCTTTATTTCATAAATTACGGTTTCATATTTTTAATTTTAGAATTTCTGCATGCCATCTTACGAGATTTAAACTGATGATCTATAATCCGGAAAAATCGATAATCCGGAATCGCCGAAGTCCCGACGAGTCCGGATTAACGACTTTTGACTGTATTGTGCAAACCTCGGCAAGACCTGCTTTCTACCAAATACAACTTCCCATTGTTTTCTTTAGAGATTTTGTGGCAAAATTCTGTTTTCCCGCAGAAATTTTACTGCAGTTTCTGTCAGTGCTGGCAAATTCCACAAACACATATGTTACAATTAAATTTAAGGCAAATTTTTCACAATTTTTTTTTTTAATAAAAACTACTGGAATTTGGAAAACGAGGAAAAGAAGGCATGTGAAAATGTATCGTTACTGAAGGATTGTTGTGAGCACGGCTGCCTGAAGAATGTTTATTCACCTGGCTGGTAGTTTTGCACATTCTAAATAAAATTTGGTAATTTCTGCTATTGTAGTTCCAATAACACATAAGTATCAAATTAATAAGATGTATGATCAGCACTGACCTAAACGTCATCTTCACAATGATTTTCGATGCTGCGTGTTAGATTGTCTTGGAGTTCCTGTGGTAACAAAGTGTATTGTTGATGAATAGCACTTTGAAGCTCCTGGAGAATGCTTGGTAGGGGTGTATTGATGCACCGTCGTGTATCCCTCACATGTTCTATCAGATTTAAATTTGGAGGATATACAGACCTTTCCATCCATTAGATTACTTTACTCTCAAGATAATTGGCCACTTATGCAGAGTAGTGTGGATTAATGTTATCTTCCATCGGCAGGAAGTTATTACCAATTACACTTCTAAGCAACTTGATGCAAGGATCAAGAAACTTACTTCAGTACACTTCAGCATTCATAATTATACTGGTAAAAATGAGTAGGCAAGTGTACCATTCAAAATATTTATACCATGATTCTACCATCCTTGTACTGATGCTTTTCACGTATGTTTTCAGAGTTATTTCATTTGCTTTGCTCTCTCCAGATTATAACATGTCAAGAATACTCTCAAAAACAAAAATAAGAGTCACTAGTAAAAACAATTTGTCCACCAGGTTCGTGGTGGCTCCATCTGGTAGTTCTTTAATCACAATCTCTGCAACACTACAATCGATGCATTCCATAACTCGAGTCAATGGGACATATGTCATGGGTTTTCTTATGTAGATAGCAAATTTCCTTGCAATCTGGGCTGATGTGACTTGCCTATTACTTTCAACAATCATTGCCAAATAATGGTCTTTTATTGTATGTATTTGGCCTTGATCTGGTTATATGTATACATCACTAGTGTCTTTAGACCATTTCCAAATTCTTTTACTTGATGCTTTTGGCTTCTTTAAAGTCTTTGCAAATCTGCATCAGTGTCTGTCTTGCTTCCATTTGCACATAATTTCTCGCAATCCATCAGATGCCTTCTGAACAATATGTTTTTCTTTCCATGTGTGAAAATTTTATTGAATCACCTCCTTGTTCTCCTACCTGTAGCAAAGGAACAGGTGGAACATGTAGCAAAAGAACAGGTGGGAAATTTTTTTTTTTTTTTTTTTTTTTTTTTTTTTTGTATAATGAAAGTGAATCCAACTGGATTATGGGATAACATTGACCTTGAATTATCAATCAATTTTCATTTAATTTCACTAAGTAATTAAGTAGTTATTTTAATTTCACTAAGTAAAATTAACATAAAGCACATTTTTACTTTATCTGTCAGTATATTTATTATCCTGAAAGGGCTATTCTGTTGAAAGTGCAATTTTGTGTCATGTCACGTCAATAGATTTTTTTCACTTTTTATTTCATTCTATTGCCATTTAGAAATTTCTTTCATATTTAATCTGCCTGTTATTAATTAACTAGCTAAACCAGTGGTGTAGCTAGGGTGAGGCAAAGGAGGCATCTATCTCGGGTGCAGCATCCAGGGGTGCCAAACTAGTGTTAAAAAATTTTAGATTGAAACATTTTGCAATATTGGCACACTGAAAGGGGTGCAAGATCTTCAGTTGTCCCCGGGCACTAAAATCCCTAACTACGCTTCTCAGCTAAACTATTTAAAAGCAATTGATGCAGTTCATGACATATCTAATTAAAAACATTAAATATTTTTTATAAAATTGCATTGCATGTTTTTTTTAACACATTTAAATTTACAGAAGATATGACATTCCCTTGTTAGTCTAAATGTGTATTCATCTAATATCCTGTAAAATGATTCATTATTCCAGTTGATGTATCTCTATCAATAATCCCCACAGAGAAACCATATTAAACTTTAAAAGAGTCCTTTTGGGCAACCGTTAAAATCTGAACCTTTACAGACTTTTTTTTTTTTTAAAGAATGTTGAACTTGTTGAAGATGAAGAAGCTGAAGTTGCTAGTGAAGCTTCAGATGATGAAGAAAATGACAGTGGCCAAACAGCATGGGGTTGTGATGCTGCTGTTAAATATGTTAATGGTAAATAATTTTTTTAAAGTTTTTTTTCCTTTTTTAATATTCAACAATATAAAATTTTTTTGTTGTCCTGAAACAGCTATTCTTATTGTCCTGAAAGTATATATCATTCTTTTTAAGTTTTCAATGAATTTTGCGCATGGTATAACTTCAAATCTAAAATAAGATTTTCAATGAAAAGTTAATTTTATATGGTTTGGAATATTAATTAGCTGCCTCTATAATGGCTTATTTAAATACAAAATTAGATATGCTTAAAAGCTTGATGTAAAATTTCTAAATAAAGTAATTTTATTTTTATGATTTTTAGTTTTTTTTTAATTATGTAAATTCTAAAAAAATTAAGCTAGGGAAATAACTTGGATTGAAATTCATTTTTATTAGTTTAGTATTATATTTAGTGGCTCAATCAGTCCATCATTATTTTTAAAATGTTTTCAATTTTATTATGAATATTAAAATGACAAATATTTCATTGTATATAAAGTAATTTGTAGAAATTAAAATTGATAAGATATTTTATAGTAGAGGGTGGAATTTAGTTATTAATCAAAATCAACATTTGCATTTTAAAATTTTGAATAGCAATTATTTTTTTCATTCAGAACGTAGGAATGCTGAAATAACATTAATGGAAGAGAATACTCTACAATATGAAACTTTTTCTTTTAGGGTCATGCAGAAGCATGTATATTCTTGGCAAAATTAATATTAATTTGTTTGAAGATAGATGGTTTAGAGTTTTACAAAATCTGTACAAAATTGTAAAATAAATTAAATATATTGTAAATTATATTTGCAAGTGGTAGAACATTATAGAAATAATGATGCAAAAATTAATAAATTATAAAATGGATAAAATCTAATTTTTTCTTAGAAATAATTTGCCAAAAATAAGGAATGATCAAGAAAAATTAATGTTAAGAAAATAAAGTCTGAAATATTCTGTGTATTCCATCAAATCCATAATAAATAAATAAAATATATCCAACTTTTTAAGGCATTTGGGCAGAAAGATAAAAAAATAGGTTGTTAAAATTTGATATTTGCCATTGAAAACATTTTGTCAGAAAGTAATGATAAATGAACAAATATTTTTGTATAATTGAATACTGTGGGGAAATATTTTATCTAAATAAATTCTCTATACAGAATTTTAAAATATAAGGGCAAAAATATTGAATTTTTCTTAAAATAGCTATCTTTAAATTGGGAGTTATAGATCGATTTTTTTTTTTTTTTTTTTTTTTTTTTTTTTAGTGGGAAGGTTACATGTGAGTGAAAAGGTAAAGCTTTCCAGTATAATCTGCATTCTGTTTTCATGTGAAATTTTCAAAGTAACATAGTAATAAAAATTTTTAAGTATATGTAAATCGTATGCATACTGTAAAGAAAAGAATAACATCAAATTCACTTATTGATTTAACGTAAGATTGTATTATCATAATATTGATCTGACCTCCATATGATTACTTATTTTATTTATTTGTATTATAAATGTGGCTTTTATTATAATATCCTTTAAAACAAAGATTGAAAAAAGTACATATTCCTTTACATTAATTTTGTTATTTTTGAAGAAATAATTTTAGTTATTTATTTATGTCATAGTGTTGATTTTATTATATCTTTCTTTTACAAACAATGAAATGGGGCCATATTCTTCTAAGTTAATGTCTTTATTTTTGTAGGCGAAATTACGTTTTCTGAATTAAATGATATTATGGAAAATAAAAAACCTAACCGCCACCCAAGGAAAAAAAGGCGTACAGAAAGAGAGCCAAAAGAACCAAGTAAATAGTTTTATTTCAGAGTTATTTATTATCAATTTACTTAACATATTTTGAAAGTTAAAGGTGAGTTATATGCTATGAAAAACATATATATTAACTCCTTCGAGCCAAGTAGTGAAAACGCGCGCTTATCGCGGAGGCCGGCAGTGTCTTACGCGAGCGTCTCTCCAGGGCCGGGGGCTTTTTTGCTACTAAGCCTAAATCCATGAAATTTCCGAAGTATAAACGCATTGTTTAATAATGCTCTATAGAGTATTTAAACGGCTTATGCTTTATAGATATTTATATATATATATATACTTTAATTACCTTATTTCTTGTTTAAATGCATATTTTACACATTTTATTTTAATTACTCACCATTTTATGACTTTTAACATTATACATCTGAAAACTAAATATATTACTTAAAATTCTCTTTTCGTATGAAAAATTTGAAAACAGGGATCTACACACAGTCCTACGTTACATTCCTTGCACTCGTAATAACTCATTTGCCATTTTGGAGGATTTTTCCGGGAATGTGAACAAACGAAGCATCGTCGTCTCATTTTCTTATCAGTCTCTTCTGAACAAAGTTTTGGAAAACGTCTTTCAGTTAATCTTTCAGAATCAATATCAGACTATCAGAATTTCAGAATCAATATCTGAAATATTTTGCATCATTTCTGCTATTTCGTGCTCTGTTAAACATTTTCGACGCTTCAACATTGCAACTGTAAAAACAGAAAGAATTCACATCTAACAAGATCTAATTATTTTCTAAAAACTGAACTGTAAACCGAAATACTCAACGCTTTAGTGCATATAAATCTTCTACTTACAATAAACAACTACCACGTGCGAATAAAGTGCGATTTAAAGAGACGTCATAAATCACGCCATTCGGAAACATTTAGTTCCCCGTTTGTTTATATAATCAAAAACACGTGTATGTGAGTCGTGCTTCTCTCATTTCGAGTAGAAGGTCTAATGTACATGTATCTGAAACCATATGGACATACAGTGCCATCTTGTGGCAGAAATTATAGTTTGAAAAACGTTCCAGGGTACTGGCACAAATACGTGACAGTCGGTAGTAAACGGAAAAATGCTCTGGCACGCCTGTGTGTTGGCCGGTAGGTAAGTGTGTTCGTTGTTGGCACGTATACGTGACAGTCGGCGCGAAGGGGCTAATAATATATCATACAAATTAAATATTGTTTAATTTAGTTACCATATATTCTGGTATGTAACGTGCACAGGTGTATAAGAGACACATAAATTCAAACTACAGTTTTTAATTTTTAGGTGTATTCGCTGCATTATATGCACCATTTTCTTTACAAAGAAGCATGGAAAATAAATGTATGATGCTCTTATATTTTGAAACCATTCAAAGACTTTTTCGAGGCTTTCGAACAGGAGTATATTGAACTGACAAATGATGAGGAACAATATGTGTTTGGGGGCGATGGTTGAGGGAGTAACAGTTCTGCATTGAGGGTAGGTAGTATTTAATGTTGTTGTGCACAAGAATGTTATTTTAGGGTTTTGAGAAAAGAGGGATATAATATTTATGTACATTATGTACGGACACAGTTTACGTACGATGCTCTTATATTTTGAAGTTATTCATTCTACTTTTCCCACACCTTCGAACAGTGGTATATTGAACTGACAAGTGATAAGAGGAACAATATGTATGTGTGGGAAATGGTTGAGGGAGTAAACAATTCTGCAAAGAGGGTAGGTTGTATTTAATGTCGTTGTGCATAAGAATGTTATTTTAGGGTTTAAAAAAAGAACGACATAATTTGGGCTAAAAATGCATTTTTAAACGGAATGAATTTATGGAATTAGGAGTCAAATGTAGCTTTATTGAATATTGCTTTTGCCAAACAAAACAAACACAGTGCTGGTTTCAAATGCAAAGTGATTCAATTTATGAAAGAAAATGGAAATCCCGCTGCAGCAAGGACGTTTCATGTTGTTGAAAGTCGCATGTGTGAGGGGAAGAAAAATGATATCACAACAATTAGTAAGCCAAAGAATAAATGTCCTTTGCCTCAAGGACTAACAAAATGGTCTGTCCTAGTGTTGCAAACTGGGTTTTAAAAAATCACCAGAATGAACTAATTTTAATAAGAAACAGTATATGTTTACTTGCCTTAAAATGAGGAAAAAAAAAAAAAAAAAAAAGAAACTGAAAACTTTAAAGCAACTTTGAGTTGGTGTAGTTCATTTATGGCATGGAATAATTTAGTTCTACAAGAAAATGCAAAAGGCTTGCAAAAAGATTTGGGCAACAAATTGGTCTACAAAAGTATGTTATTAATCTACAAATGCAAAAAAAGTTATTTATTGTCACTTACTGAAAATATGGTTAAAACTCCAGTAGTATTCGATATGCTAAGAAATAAAACAATTGATGTGAAAGGAACAAAAAATGGTTCACATGTAAAATAATAAATTAATGAAACAACAGGTTATAAATAATAGTCTTACTTCATCATAATGCTTTCCTACTTAGTGGATGGTACAAAATTGAAACCCATGGTTATTTTTAAAAGAAAGATGATGCCAAATATAATTTCCTAACTATTGTGTTCATTCATGTTTACAAGAAAGGTTGGATGGATGAAAATGGTGTGAAATTGTGGGATAAAGAAATGTTTGGCAAAAGCATCCTGTTGCCTTAACTAATCCAGAAAGTCTTTTAGTTTGGGACATGTTCAGATCCCATCTAGCAGATAATTTGAAGAAATTGTTGAAAGAGTGTAATACAAATATTGCCATTAATCCAAGTGGATTAATGCCATTAATTTGGTTTTTAGATATGTGTATCTAGAAGCCATTCAAAGAAAATTTAGAATGACAGAGGAATATGTGGATGTTAGAAAGTGAAAACACATTTACAAAATGGAGCCAAATGTGTCATGCCAGTTTAGAAATAGTGTGCGAGTGAATGTAAAAGCATAGATTGAAATTGAGTCCAATAAAATTCAAGAGTCATTTAAAAATGCAGTATATCTAACAATCTAGATGGAAGAGAATATGATTATTTATTTATGAATTAGAGTAACATTGATGATGAAACCGAATATGATGATATACCTGAAGATGTAAGGGAAGATGAGTATGAAGAATTTTTATGTTACCCAATAATCAAAATTTATAAGTTCATAAGGTATATAATGTCTTAAACAGCATTTGGGTACATGAAGAAATGTAATTTTTGTTTGCTCATCATTTCCTTATTTCTAAATCTGTCATTTTTATATGTGGTGTATAACATGTACCCATAAATTTTGGATCTTATTTTTTTGTATTGAAATTGCGTGGTACACCAAAATATATGGTACATTGAAATTGCAATTAATTTTTAAAAGTATAATCATTGAGAGAAAATTAGAAAAAAAAAAAAAAAAAGTGTCTTACTAATTTTTAATTTTTACATTAGATTGATTTATAATTGTTTATTATTCAAAGAGATGTGACAGGTATTCCTAAAAATATGAATTTATGAAAATTTTGAGTTATTAAATTATTTAATATATGTGTGTGCATACATATTATTGGGAAAGTATAAAAAATAGGCATTTTATACTGTGCATAATGCATCATGACAATGATGCTCTAGAGCAAGGTTCCTTAAATTTTTTCAGTCGCGACCTCTTTTTATCACTGAGATTTATTTTGCGATCCTAGTACCTCATAATATTTAGGAAAATTTTGTGGGACTCCATAAGCATTGCGCAAATTCGACACATGCGTGTGTGAAACTGTCATTTTTTCACTTGTACTGTAATATACAACTGCAGTTTAGATCATTAACTTTAATTTCTAATTTTAAGACATACAGTAACGTAACAGGCAAAATAACAGCATCACGTGCAAAGCAAGTAAAATGAACATTTCTAATATGAAAAGAATGCGTTGAAACATTTTCCTTTTTTCTTTGTCTGTATTGTCTTATCTTTATCTATTTTTAGATACATTGTGTAAAAATATTTGGTAATTGTAAAATTGTTATAAGTTAAAGAAATATCAAATTTTCTAAACCTATTGCTGCAGGTGTTGTGACCCACAGTTTAAGAAATGCTGCTCTAGAGCTTTGTAATTTCTTTTTTCCTCCTATTTCACATGTTAGGAAAAAGTGAATTGCAAAGTTGTAGAGTATCATCGATTTAGAACAAAAAAACACCTCTTGCATATGAATGCTGAAAACAAAATGCTAAAAATACACTTTTTTTTTTTTTTTGGTTTTCAAAACTGACGTTACGAAACTTGAACATAAGGAGAAAAAGATTATCTTTTGGATGAAGAATGTGCCTACATTGTGATACAGTGGTATTGTTTGTCAAGAGGACTATGGTTCAAACCCTGTGGGATGCATCCTTGTACTGATTGCCATTACAAACAGAGTAGACAATAGGCAGATCGTGTCACAAAATGCATTAACTTAATGCAACTTGTGCTTGGTGTGTGAAATTTTTGCATTATACAAATAGTGTTACCATCTTCACCTGAGGGGTGCTATAAAAGAGATACCTCCTCGGGGCTGTATGTTGAAGCTCATGTTCAGGGAGCGATTTTCAAAAAATTATTGTGAAATGTTTCAACTTTATGGTGAATGTGGGCGCAAGGTGTAGTCGGCAGGCCAGTTGTGTCTGCAGTTTTTCCTGCAGTCTCACGTTCTTCACATAAAACCATCCTATACGTTGTGAAATGCTTTTAAGGAGACAGGCTGCCTGATTAGCTGATTTTGCTCAGGCAGACCAGCTAAGGTAGGGCAAAAAGTACAATCAGAAGATGTGTTATCATATGCACTCGCACATCCAAACAGCAGCACAAAAGATATAAGTGAAATCTGTGGCCTCTCAAAAAGTCACAATGCTCATCCATAATGCCAAAAACCTCATCAGGAAGTACTGGACTTAAAATGTTGAGAGACATTTTGCATAGTGCAACTTTGTCTTGAACTGACACAGATGCAGCCAATACTCTTGGCAGATACA